ACTGGAGTACCAAGGGGAGGGGAATGAATCATGTATTGATATCTATTGCTTTCGCGCTCTTTTGCTCAGTTCCAGCTTTGTTTTGCTTCTTTCCGTTTATAATCAGTAAAAGTACACTTAATTCTGAGACATGGAGTTGAGTGGTTTCTTTCTTGGTTATTAAGTGAAGGAGCCGTGATATTAAGCTGGAACTCACTTCGCACCCATCCCAGAGCGAACACGTTGGGGTGCACCCAACGCTGAAAAATGTCCCTCCATGGCAGTGATCAAGAGGAAGATATGGGAACAGCTGCAGTTCCTTCGGTGACGGAAATGTTGGCCGACCTGCAAGTAGAGGAACAATCTGTTCGACCCAGGTGGACTTTGGGAGTGGGACAGAAGGAAGAATCTGAAGAACCGCTAACTGGGATTACGGTGAGGAGACACAGAAAACCAGCACCTGACTGGCGAGGCCCTGAAGAGGAAAATCTCATGATGTCCCAAGCCATGAAACTTCTCGAAGGAGCATGGGAAAAGCGCCGGACTCGAGAGAGTGATTTGGACAGAGGACTTGAGGAGGAAACAGAGAGAAGGTATACTTTGCCTAGTTTGAGAGAGGCTGGGGGGCCCGAAGGGGGAATTGCACAAGATGACCCAGCACCGACCCCAATCCCTGCGGCTAGAGACATTCCAAGAGCGGGGGGGGGCATCGCAGACGCCAAATGGCTAAACTCCCTCTTTTAAGTGTGAAATACAGGGGAGACCCTAAAGAACTTGGGCTATTTTTAATTCAGGTGTGGAATTATATGCAAATGTATGGCCAAGAACTGGGGTCTGATGAAGCTAAAGTGAGAATTGTATTAATGACTTTGGAGAAAAAAGCAGCGAACTAGGGCTGCATAATAATGACTCTCCTCTTTTAAGAGACTTTAATGGATTTATGGCAGCTTTGAGGAAGTGTTTTGATGACCCCCTCACTGAGCGCAGAGCCAGAATTAAATTTACAACTCTTAGACAGGGGAAAAGATCAGTGGCTGAGTATGTGCAAGAATTTCNTGGCCCATCCAGGTTTCAGTAATACATGCCAGGTCTGCCCCCTCGTCTAATATTAGGTCCCGGATGTGGGGAGCTTTGTGAACCATAGACCTGGCATTTAGCAACAGCAGCCTGAGACCAGGGCCCTGACAACTGCTCAGGAGACAAACCGGAGAGAAGAAGGCGAAGAAGGCACCAGTCAAGGCCAGAAATGGTGGCCGCTGGAGGAAGTAAACATCTAGTCCCCAGGCGCACCGCCTATCCAGAATAATGGCACCAGGAATAAGATGGTCCAGAGAATGGTGCTGTCTGAAGCGGCGCTCCTGGGGCAGCAGCAGCAGCAGATGACACTGGCCACAACAGAAGACCAGTCGCAGAGCTCCCGGAGTCGCGGTCGAAGCAGGCAAAAAGTAGGGCAGTGGGGAGCCCCACAGTGGCAGCGGCAAGGTAGAAGAAATGCCGCACCAAGAGGGAAGGAGGGGTGGGTCAGAAGAACTGCGGTGGCAGCAGGAAACCAGCCCCCCAGTCCAAGCAAACATTCCTGTAGAGCTCACCACCCCCTCTTCGGGGCATAAACTGACATGCTGGCACCGCCCAGCACAAGTCCAATGCCTCCCAGGGCAACGAGGCCAAAACCGTCACTGCCTGTGCAATGCTGTCTCCGCCGCCGCCGACCAGCTGCAGCACAAAAGTACAAAGAAGCCGCCGAGGGAGGTAACACCGTCCAGGAGCCACCCGAAGGCAGCCCCCTCCAGGTAGTTGCCCCCCCGGACAGCCCAAACGCTGGCCTCTTGCAGGAACCCCTCCTTTACCATGTCCGAGGTCCTGGTCCCAGAGTTTCTTCCATTATTATTTTCAGTGAGCCGGAACGATGAAGCTCGGCAGCCATTTCCCATTCTCACGCATGCGCATATCAAATGGACCTTTTCCCTCATGGAATTCACAGCACTGACCAATACTGGATAAAATACGTGAAAAAAATCATCTGTGAATATCTAGAAACGAATAAAGTTATAACTAGTAGCCGGCATGGCTTTGTTAAAAACAGATCATGCTAAACCAGTCTTATTTCATTCTTTGACAAGTGACTAAACTAGTAGACCAGGAAAAAGATGAGGAAACAGTATACTTTGACTTTGGCAAGGCATTTGACAAAGTAGACCACAAGCTCCTTCTTGGTAAGGTACAAAAACAATAACTGAAGGTTTTTAAGAAAATACTGCCAACTATCTGACATGGTAGAGGGTCTCCTGCTTGAGCAGGGGGTAGGACTAGAAGGCCTCCAAGGTCCCTTCTAAGCTTTATTTTGATTGATTGCAACCTTCTCTTTGCCTTGTTGCTTTTAATCCTTCAGTCACGTTGTTCATATTTGTACAAAATCGGAAAAAGTATACTCCGTGGCTATTTAGTTGGTTTATACTTTCCCCAGATTTGAAGTGTGGAATAATTTTAGCCATTGGACCACTGGTCCTTTAACTCTCGATTGGAAATGTGGTTCTGCAGATAACCAGCCAGCAAGAAGAGGGGATCACTTGTAGCCGCCCCTTGTTTCCTCTTGCGAATTTGCTTTGTAGCGTATGGGGTGCCTCCCACTAGAATGAAGAAATATCCATGTGTTTAACTGGCAGGTGTGTTGTTTGAGCAACAAGGAAGCTGTTGCTTTGATGGACCTGAAAGGGGAAAGGAAGAAAAGCAGGCTGGCCAAATAAAAGCAGAGGGTTTGGGGCAGGTTGCAGTCAGAGTCCAGCGGGCACCATGAGGAGAGCTGGAGAGCAAGTGGGTCTCCTCCTGTTCTGCCTGATGATCGCAACCTGTCGAGGGGCACAGGAGTCCTCCTGCCCAGGTGAGTATCAGGCAGGTTAGCTCTGAGGAGTAGGAGGGACAGCGACTTGACTTTCTGCCAGTGTTCAGAGCTCAGCTCAAAAGAAGCACTTTTTTTTGCTCCAAATGTTTTTCCTTCCTTTGCAGAGTTGAAGGAGCTGGGCCTGGATGGCAATGAGACAATAGCCATTGTGCGGGGGAGTCAAGGCTTGCCAGGACCNTGAAGAGAGGGACGATCCTGAGCGGCTGGTACACCATCTACCCCCAGGACTGCCAGCCCCTGCAGGTGCTGTGCGACATGGACACCGATGGAGGCAGATGGATTGTGAGTGTGGTGGAGGGCAGCTCTTATCCATGTGCGGCAAAGGCGTACGGTGCTTCTGACCGCTGTGCCATTGAGGACACCTTCCCTGGGGAAGAGAGTTGTGACCCATAGAAGACACACCCAGGATTGTAACTTTGCTGCTTGCCAGGAATGGGATGAACCAGAAACCGAGTCTTTCCTGAGGCCAGGATGGGGGACAGAGGGATCCTTGGAGGGGATCAAACACTTCTGAGACCCCTAAAATTTGGGTAGGGAGGGAAGATTATTATTTGGGAGCCTGCTGAGCTGGAAGGTTGGGGGTCCCAATTCTCCCTCGCAGGTCTTCCAAAGGAGATCGGATGGCTCGGTGGACTTTTTCCTGGACTGGGATGCCTACACGAAAGGATTTGGAAATCAGCTGACCGAATTCTGGCTGGGGAACAACAACCTTCACTGCTTGACCTCGCTGGGTGAGAGGCTTCCCCTTGCAGCCCTGAACCCTCCTGCTACCAGGGGAGAGGGGCGCAGGGAGGAGACTTGAAAGGACCCTCAGCCCCCTTTTCTGAAGGAGGAGGCACCAAAGAAAAAAGCCTGCAGGACTGTGAGTCTAAGCATTGTGCACACTGATCCGTGTGGCTGTTTTCTTCCTCCTAGAAAAGAATGAATTGCGTGTTGACTTCACTGATTTCGACAACAAACATTCTTTTGCCAAATATGCGTCCTTCCAGGTGGCGGCAGAATCTGACTGGTATCGGTTAACTCTGGGCGCCTTCATGGGTGGCTCTGCAGGTGAGTCCATGACAAAGTCCAGTGGCCTCAGCATCCTTCTCCATGAGCCTCTTGGAATTGGGCAGTGCCAGGCAGGCCAATGAAGGTCTCCCCGGAGATGCTCTGGGCTGGCCTTCCATGCACCCATCCCCCCTCTCTGCCTCCCAGGTGACTCCCTGTCCTACCACAACAAATGCCCTTCTCCACCTGGGAAAAGCTGCAGGACCCCCAAACGTACAACTGTGCTGAGAAGTACCAAGGGACCTGGTGGTACAATGAATGCCACAATGCCAACCTCAACAGGAGATTCTGGCTGGGAGAACATGAGACCTATGCTGATGGCACCAACTGAAAGGCATCTATTACTCCTACAGCGCACAGAAATGAAAATCCGGCCTCTGGCTTAGGCGACTCCTTCATTTAATGGGTCCTTTATTTCTGAGGGGTTCCAAAGGGCATCTAGTCCATCCCCTCTGCTTTTGATTTGCTACCTTGATAGAGAGCTTGCATTTTACAAAATTCACTTGATTNGGTTTTGTTATTGCAACTAAGTACTTGACTGTTAAATGGTTCTTGGTTGTCTGCCCAGGCCAGAGCTATTAACTGAAGGGAAATGAAAACCTCTCTTGCACTTTAAGCCTGAGTTTTAAAGGGATTTGAATTTTTCTGCTGAGAAAATGGCTATGTGCTTATTTCTTCTTTTTCTTTTCCTGTCCTTTAGTTAATTACAAATGAGCAGGGACATCTGAGGTGTGTGTGGGCTACTGGAATCGTTAGGCAGGTGGGCAGGTGGGCAGCCTTGACTATTCAGCCGGTTCCAGAACTCCACAAAGAGTTAACAAACAGTTCTCCCAAAATGGTGCCAACCGAATGAATCCCACCACTGCTTATGCAGTTCAGCTGTTTGCACCCCCTCTTCAGCCCCAGTGATACTACCGGAGCCTCCAAAAAAAGAGGAATTCTGCCCTTCTCTTTCTCTTTGCGTTCCAGGCAAGAAAGGCGACCCAGGAGAAATTGGTAAGGATTGGGTCCTCCCCCCCCAAGGGGAACATTGGGAGGAGCTGCCTTGGATCGGGGCCTCTGCCAGCCTCTCTGTCCGCTGAAGCAAAAGGGAACCTGGCTGAATTGTGCAGCTCAGCCCCCAAACGAGCTCAGGTGGGCCATGAAGTTAGGCTGAAAGGAACTCCCAACAGGTTGGCAGGCTGTGGCACATTGGACACAGTTGTGCCTCTGTCCCCCCCCCCCAATTCAGGTCAGCATGGTGGGATGCCTCCCCCCTTCATGGGCTTTCCCTGCCACATGGGGGGGGGGAGGAATTGGCTGTTCTTTACTTCTTTTCTCTTTGCAGATGAGAAGAAGCTGGAGATGCTTCAGTGCAAGCGAGGTGAGTTTGTGTGTGTGTGTGTGTGTGTGTGTGTGTGTCCATATTACCCCCTCCCCCCCAATTCCCTAAAGAGCCAATGCTGTGGCCGGGCAGTTCCAGCATTTACAGGACCCCCTTCTGACCACTGGCAGCTTTTGGAAAAGACAAAAAAAGGTTTTGCACTAAAAGAGATTTCATCTTGACCAGAAAAAATGGTCTTCCAAAAACATTTCAGGAGGGGAGGGTAATCCAGCCCACCCACTCACCCTTATGGGAAGCCCCCGTTCCCATCATGTAATGCCACACTGCAACCCTTTGGCCCACTTTAATGGTCAGATGCCTGTTGCCAACTGGCTGCAGCTACTGAGCCGGCCCCTCAGGACTGAGTGAGGTGAGAGGCATTTTGGCAAAGACCAAAATTTTGGTAAGGACCCTGGCACAGAGAGCGCTGACCTCTTCTGCCCTCTTTCTGCCCAGGAGCCCCAAACTGCAAAGAGCTCTTGAAGAGAGGGACGATCCTGAGCGGCTGGTACACCATCTACCCCCAGAACTGCCAGCCCCTGAAGGTGCTGTGCGACATGGACACCGATGGAGGCGGATGGATTGTGAGTGTGGTGGAGGGCATCTCTTTTCCATGTGCAGGCAAGACATACAATGTTTATGACTGCTGTGCCTTGGCGGGAGCCTTCCCTAGGGAAGGGGTTGTGTCTGTGACACACCCAGGATTGTAGCTTTGCTGCTTGCCAGGAATGGGATGAACCTGAAACTGAATCTTTCCTGAGGCAAGGAGTCCTGGGAGGCCAGTTCTGGGAACCACTAAAATTTGGGAAGGGGGAGGATTTGGGACCTGCTGAGCTGGAAGGTTAGGGGTCCCGATTCTTCCTCTCAGGTCTTCCAAAAGCGGTCGGATGGCTCGGTGGACTTTTTCCAGGACTGGGCTGCCTACAAGAAAGGATTTGGAAACCAGAGGACCGAATTCTGGCTGGGGAATGACAACCTTCACTGCTTGACTTCGCTGGGTGAGGGGCTTCCCCTTGTAGCCCTGAACCCTCCTGCTGCCAGGGGAGAGGGGCGCAGGGCCCTCAATGGGAAGAGCCTCAAGGGGACCCACAGCCTCCTCTGGGGATGGAGGAGGCAGCAGAGAAACATACCTGCAGGGCTGTGAGTTTTGGTGACTGGGCAGTGCGCCAACTGAACCAAACGGCTGTTTTCTTCCTCCTAGGAAAGAATGAATTGCGTGTCGACCTGATTGAATTAGACAACAAGCATGTCTTTGCCAAATATGCGTCCTTCCAGGTGG